TCTTTCTCCCCTCTCCCTCTCCCTCCCCCTCTCTGTCTTAAAAAAAAATGGAATTCTGGGACTGGGGTTATGGCTCCTTGTAGGACACTCACCTAGGATGTGCGAGGCCCTGGGTTCGAACCTCAGTACCACATAAAAATAAATAAAATAAACGTATTGTGTCCAACTACAACTAGAAAATAAATATTAAAAAAAATAAGTAAACAGGGGCTGGGGTTGTGGCTCAGTGGTAGAGCACTTGCCTAGCATGTGTGAGACACTGGGTTCAATTCTCAGCACCACATATAAATAAATAAAATAAAGGTCTGTCAACAACTAATAAAAATATTTAAAAATAAATATAAAATTTTAAAAAAATGGAATTCTGGTTTGGGGTTGTGCTTAGTGGTAGAGTGCATGCCTTGCACATGTAAGGCACTGGGTTCAATCCTCAGCACCACATAAAAATAAATAAAGTATTGTATCCATCTACAACTAAAAAAAAGTTTTTTAAATGGAATTCTGAGAGGATTTTCCCCCTTGCCTCTATATATGATTATCCTCTCTCCATTTGTCATCATCACTATCATTCCTTTCTCCACCAAAGGAGTTTTTCTTTTTTTTTTCTTTTTCTTTTGTACAAGGAATTGAACTAAGGCGCGCTCAACCACTGAGCCACATCCCCAGCCCTATTTTGTATTTTATTTAGAGACAGGTCTCACTTGAGTTGCTAAGTGCCTTGCCATTGCTGAGGCTGGTTTTGATGAACTTAGGATCCTCCTGTCTCAGCCTCCTGAACCACTGGGATTACAGGCATGTGCCACCGTGCCTGGCTCGAAAGCAGTTTCTTAAGGTGGCGCAGGCCTGTAATTCATCTACTAGAGAAGCAAAGGCAGAGTGATTAAGTTTGACCCTGTCTCAAAATTTTTAAAAAATATATATTTTTTGGTACTGGGGGTTGAATCCAGGGGTACTCTATCACTGAGCTGTATTCCCACTCTTTTTATTTTTCATTTTTTTTTTAAGTTATAGAGGGACACACAATATCTTTGTTTATTATTTTACTTTTTATTTGGTGCTGAGGATCAAACCAGTGCCTCACACGTGCTAGGGAAGCACTCTGTCACTGAGCTCCAGCTCCAGCCCCTATTCCCAGCTCTTTTTATTTTTTATTTTGAGACAAGGTCTTGCTAGGTTGCTAGGGCTGGCCTTGAATTTCAGATCCTCCCACTTCAGCCTCCTGAGTTGCTGGGATTACAGGTGTGTGCCACCATACCTTGCCTTTTTTTTCCTTTTAATTTTTTAGTTGTTAACAGATCTTTATTTTATTTATTTATATGGGATGCTGAGAATCAAACCCAGTGTCTCAAACATGCTAGGAAAGTGCTCTACCATGGAATCACAAACCCAGCCCCACCTTTTTTCTTTTTTAATTTTTTTTTTTTTTTAGTTGTAGTTGGACACAAAACCTTATTTTATTTATTTATTTTTATGTGATGCTGAGGATCCAACCCAGCACCTTGCTCCTGCTAGGCGAGTGCTCTACCGCTGAGCCACAACCCCAGCCCCCCCACTTTTTCTTTTGAGACAGTCTGTGTTTATGTATTTATTTATTTATTTGGTACTGCCACATCCCCAACCTTTAAAAAAAAATTTTGAGACAGTCTATTGCTAAACTTCTGAGGCTAGCTTTGAACTTGTTCTACTGCCTCATGCCTCCAGTGTCACCACCATGCCCAGCCATTCTCACTATGTTACCTGGCTTGCCTCTAATTCCTGAGCTCAACTGATCCTTCTGCTTCAGCCTCCTGAGTAGGTGGGACTACAGACCCACACCACTGTGTCTTTCTTGCAAGAGCATTTTTTAGAATATGTTTTTCCTCAAAGGAAATATTGTGCCATCTTGTATTGTTCTTACTGGTTTCTTATAAGCAGTTTATTTCCAAGTTTATTGGAACTAAACTTTATTGTTGCCCCTCATCTGACTATAGAGAAAAAAAATGATTCTAAATTTGTGGCTTCTAAAATTTATTTGGGAACATAAAACTAACTCACCTGAAAGATTAAGAAATAACTAAAAGAAAGTTCTTTCTTCTCTTGAACTTTTAGTGGGAATGTATATGGATGCAACATTCCAAAAAGGCAATTTGGCACTACATTTTAACTCAGCAATTGAATTATTAATATTGTTTTTTTTTTCTTTTTAAATTCTTCTTTTTTTTTTTTTTGGCACTAGGGATTGAACCCAGGGGTCCTTAACCATTGAGCCACATCCCCAGACCTTTTTACCTTTTTGTTTTTTTAAGATTTTTTTTTTTAGTTGTAGATGGACATAATACCTTTATTTTGTTTATTTATTTTTTTATGTGATGCTGAGGATCTAACCCAGTGCCTCACACATGCTAGGTGAGTGCATGTGTCACAATTCCAGTCCCTCAGAACTTTTTGTATTTTATTTAGAGACAGGGTCTTCCTGTGGTGCTCTGGGTCTTGTTAAATTGCTGAAGCTAACCTTGAACTCCCTCCCAAGCCTCCAGAGCTGCTGGGATTATAGGCATGTGTCACCATGCCCAGCTAATTATTATTATTATTATTTTGGTACTGGGGATTTAACCCAAGAGCAGTTTGCCACTGAGCTACATCCCCTGATCTTTTTATTTTATTTTATTTTGTATTTCGAGACAGGGTCTCACTAAATTGCTGAAGCTGGCTGGTTTTGAACTTTTTCAAACTTGTGATTCTCTGCCTCTGCCTCAGCCTCCTGAGTCACTGGGATCATAGGTATGTGCCACCAGGCCCAGCTTCCCCAGCTGTTTTTGTTTTGTTTTGTTTTGTTTTTGTTTTTTAAATGAGGCTTCATTTAAAACACACACACACACACACACACACTATATATATATATATATATATATATATATATATATATATATATATATATATATACTGTAACAAGCTATCACAAACTTTATATGCTTTTTTTAAAAAAATACTTTTTAGCTATAGATGGACACAATACCTTTGTTTTATGTATTTATTATATTTTTATGTGGTGCTGAGGATTGAACCCAGGGCCTTGCTCCTGCTAGGTGAGTGCTCTAACTGCTGAGCCACAACCCCAGCCCAAACTGGGTGGTTTTAAGCCAAAACAAATTAAATTCAGACAGGGTCTTCTACATTGTTGTCCAGGCTGACTTTGAACTTTTAGATCCTTCTACTTCAGCCTCCCAATATATTTATATAATGGAACTGTTACTCAGAGTTTAGGAAATGTTTGGCTAGTGAATAAATTAACATGAAAGAAGCAAGTATGAATCATACATACAGGGGCTAGGGATGTACTTCAGTTGATAGAATGTTTGCCTTATATGCACAAGGCCCTGGATTCTAATCCCCAACATGAAAACAGAAACACTAAAACGACACATACAGCATGATTTTTTTTTTTTTTTTTGCAGTATTGGGGATTGAACCCAGGACCTCACATATGCAAGTCACTGACCTATATCTCCAACCTTTTTTTTTGAGCTAGGGTCTTGCTTATGTTGCCCAGGTTGGCCTAGAACTCCATAGCTGAGAATACAGGTGAGAGCCACTCCTCCTGGCTACATATTTATATCCAAGATAAGTGTGTGCATGAATACACAGTAAAGGTAACAAAGGCTAAATCTGGGAAGTAGAACTGGAATTTGCAGGTCAAGTATATGCAGATATTTATTTATTTATTCATTGTACTGGCGATTGATCCCAGGAGTGCTTTTACCTCTAAGCTACTTCCCCAGTACTTTTCATTTTTGTGGTACTGGGGAGTTGAACCCAGAGCTTTGCAAATGTTAGGCAAGTGCTCTACCACTGAGCTATACCCAGCCCCCCACCCTTTTTTTTAAGAGAGAGAGAGAGAGAGAGAGAGAGAGAGAGAGAGAATTTTTTTAAATATTTATTTATTTATTTTTTTAGTTCTCGGGGTACACAACATCTCTGTTTGTATGTGGTGCTGAGGATCGAACCTGGGCCGCACGCATGCCAGGCGAGCGCGCTACCGCTTGAGCCACATCCCCAGCCCCCAGCCTTTTATTTTTTTATTTTTATTTTTTCATTTTGAGCCAGGTTCTGCTAAACTGCTGAAGCTGTCCTTGAATTTGCCACCCTTCTGCCTCAGCCTCCTGAGCTGCTGGAATTACAGGCATGTGCCAGGCTCCCAGCATATATTTTTGTACTATTTGAACCAATTGTTATGCTTTTGTAAACACACACACACAGACCCAGGAAAACAATATAAAGAAGTTGATAGGTGGAAAATGAGTGAATAATAGAGACAGCGTTGGACGGTAAAAAAGAGAGATCACGTTGTTTTGCTTTTGGGATAATCAAAAGGCTTTCCTAGATTAAATTAGGTATGAAAGATGTTTAAGTGTTTTGAGTATTCCAGGTGGAAAAACAAAGGTAGGAGAACTTTTTTTTGTCTTTGGAGGACAGAAAGATCTGGAGCAGTGGGACGTAGACTTGGCAATGGAAACCCAATGTGAGTTTCTGTGTAACAGCTGAGAAAGAGCAAAAGAACGGAGAATGCGGTATTTTAAAAGTAAATTTGCCGTATTGCAGCAGTGTGAGATTAGGTGAGGATTAGTGCCTAGAGATCGGATGTCCACTAGGAGGTGCTATTTCGAAACAGGCCCAACTCGGACTAAGGTGAAAGCAACGCAGAGCAGGTAGAATGTCAGTCAGACAAAGAGGGCGTTCCAACAGTTGGTCGAATTAACGCATATAAGTGGTACGCAAATATTAATTATCACCATTACCGCGTGCTCGCTAACTAATCTGGTCTTCCGGAGTAACCCAAATCTAAGCACTAGAACTCATGGCACACGGCCTTCATTCGAAGCGACTACTTCTCCCAGGAACCCTCGCGCGAGGCCAGGCCTTCTTCCCAAGTGCAAGTGAGTCTCGCCCAACGGCCTTCTGGGATTCGTAGTCTTGCAAGTAGTGTCTTTCGGGACGTGTAGTTCCCTTCCCACAATCGGCTGGGCGAGGCGGCGCCGGCGATCAGAGCAGCGCTGGGTGTTTAGGGGCCAAGATGGCGGCGCGCCGGGGACGGAGAGACGGAGTCGCGCCGTCCCCGACTGGGGGCCCTGGCCCTGACCCCGGTGGTGGAGTCCGCGGCAGCGGTTGGGGGAGTCGGAACCAAGCGCCGCATGGGACCGTGGGCACAGTCAGCTGTGGGGAGCAGGTGAGAGGCTGGCGGGCGGCCGGCGCCTGGCAGCAAAGCGGCGTGTGCCGGGCGGTGACACGTGGACGCCACAGGAAAGGGAGGAAGCGCTTAGGAGTCGATGCCGGGTTGCCACCGGAGTCAGACCAGGCCGGGCCGAGGGAACCTAAGCGATTTGCTGGGGGTCCGCTGGCAGAGGTAGAGTACGTATGTCCATTCCTGGGAACGCCGGAGTGGCAGAGCCGGGTGTCGGAAACAGGGCCTGCAGTTGGGGAGATCAGGGATTCGGAATTGAAGTTGAATGTTAAGACCTTTTTATGAGGATGCCGAGGAGGGCTACATGAGCCCGGCGCCGCCGTTCCCCTTTTGGAGCACGTGGGGTGGGGGAGAGCTATTTTCCCGGGAGAACTTGTCTGTCTCCCCTCCCCCTCTAGGCGGCCGGAGCTCCCACGTGGGTTGGTTGGGCTCCGGAGGTGGGGAGGGCGCGGGTCCACGTGGGGGCGGGGAAGGTTTGTCCACGTGGCTCGCGTCCGGGGCTATCCGGCATCTAGTAGCCGCGCTGAAGCGGCACTGCTGGGAACTGGGTGTGTCAACTGGTCCCGCCATCCCGGGCCGGGGCTGGGGGCCCCTGGCCAGAAAGGAAGGTAGAGGTTGCTAGATACAACTTTGCAGGAGCTTTGGAGTTTTTCCCCTGTTAACGTTGGTCTGTAGTGCCTTTCAACAGCGGATGGTGGACTTTCCAGATGTTCGAGGAGTCTCTTCCCTGCAGATGGCAATGTGATGTGGAGGGTAAAAGATTGTGGAGGAGTGAGCTTGTGGAGGCTTCAGTCTGACCGGCTTGGGGTGGGTTGTGAGTCATTGGCACTGGCGTTTTTGTTGCCTGCATTTCTGCCCCATTTGTGATTCAAGGGGAATGGGGAGTGAAATACACCCGGGACCAAACTTAAAAAAAGGGAGAAGGAATCCTTCTCTCCTAAATTTTTCCTCTAGTATCTATTTTGAGGAAGTAATTAAGATCTGTCCTGTGAACTGACACAAACCAAGGGTGGTTTGTTTATATCTGTATTTTAGGCTTTCTGGAATTTTTGCTGGGATTGGGGAAGTTGGAGGTAATGTGAGACCTATTCAGTATTTAACACTAGTTGAACATTTATTGGATGTGGGAGAGTTTTTCTGATCAGATTATATTTCCTTGGCCTTGAGTTCTCCACACTTACAAAGTATTATTGTCTAACAGGACTTCTTAAAAGTTTCCACCTAGAGGTGGCAGTGGGTGGGAATTGGTTTGAACTGTTATCTCTCTTCTGCAGCTAAGCTGAGTCCTTGATGGAATTTTTCTCATCCTAGGCAGACGTTGGGCTTCATGGTTCCTGATAGTACCAGGTCCAGCAGACAAATCTAGGTCCTTCCCTGGGAGAATGGCTTCTAAATTTGGGAATGGCTTCATGAATTTGGGAGCAACCCACCCCTTCTCCCTCATCTTTTCAGAGATCATAGCTTCTGTGGGTGGTGCTCCCTATCCTCAGAAGGAGAGATGAGGGATCCAGTTGTAATACAAGTTAGATGGTTATTTGGGGTCTCATGGAGAGATCAACTCCCTCCAACAAAAAGAGGTGTGTGTGTGAGCTAGTTAGTCCAACCAGCTAGTTACTGAGATACCATTATGTTCATGCACAGGGGATAGAGATAAACTCCACAAATGTAATCCTTGTTCTTCAGGATTTTATGTTTAATCAGGATAGACAGATAATAAATGATGATGTATGGGGAGAAAGGAAAATGAAGGATATTTGGGATTATATAATTAGCTATAATAATCTATTTTGTAGGGTCAGGGAAATGACATGTTAAACTGAGACCCCAAGTTTATATGTGTGTACAAAACTTTCATCAGAGGGAATAATGTGTGAGAGGCCTTGAGAGGGGAGCAAACATGGCTTATAGGAGGAACTGAGATACTTGTATGGTAGAGGAGGAGGTGGGGACAAGCTGAAGCAGAATAGTGTAATAGGGATTAGCACCTCTGTAAGCCACATTAAGGAGTTTAATATTAAGAGCAGTTGGGCTGGGGTTGTGGTCCAGTGGTAGAGCGCTTGCTTGGCATGGTGAGCACCATATAAAAATAAACAAAGTAAAAAATCCACTGGCAACTAAAAAAATATTAAAAAAAAAAAAAAACAGTAAGATGCTATTGAAGATTTGCAGGGGCTCTCAGGAAGTGATCATGCATTTAAAAAAGTTTCTGGCTGATTTTGAACTCTGGAAGAACAAGATTCTCTCAGTTGTGAGGTCATTGAAGATGGAAGTGCTGGTGGCTGGCATACTTAGCCTGGGCTTAGCCCTTGGGTGATCTTGGTCCGATGGGAACCATGCTATTTGGGAATCAAGAGATGGGTGAGGTCATGTAAGGGGAGGTGTCTGTGACCAGATCTCCTGTACCTGTCTAATGGAGGTGGAGATTAATGGTTTGCAGAGCTAGGCATCATCTTGAGATTCTGGCCTGGCCACTGGGGCTCTGGTAGGGAGGTGGCAGGGCAAGCAGAGATGCAGGTTTCTTGCTCACCTAGGATTGTTTGCTGAGCCAGCTGCTATTCACAGCTGCTGGTTGTAATTACAGGATTGTAAAGGCCTGGGAGGGGTTAGTGCCTAAAACATGCTACCTTTCACTTCATCTCTGGACCTGGCCTCCTAAAGTATCCCTAAGCAGCCCTTCCTTTCCCTGGGCCCTGGAACTCCAGCTCTTTTAGGAGGTTGTGTGTATGGGAGGGTTATAGTCATACCTGTTGCTTTTTTCTTTTAGAGGTGAAGTGCCCAAGTTTCCCTTTGATGAAGAAGGGGAGGGGGGCAGTCTGCTTTATCTGTGTTTGATCCTGTTCTCAGGCCTTTGCACCAGGTTTCTAATAGTGGAGATAGCTGGGGTTCTGTCCTCTATCCTCAAAATCCCATTCTAGCCACTTCTGGCCCTGCCCACACCCACTCTCTTGACAGGTTTGGGCTGGCAGCTTCCTGCCTCCTAACAAGGCTGAAGATGTTAGCTCTCAGAGAAGTGTGGGGCAGGGCCTCTTCACTTGCAGAATTAAGCTTTCTCTTTTTTTGGCTCTCACCTAGAAGAAAGAGGTGGGGAAGAGATTCTGTCCTTGGAAATACCATGAGAGATTGGATGACACATTGTTGAGGCTGGGGATGTAGCTCAGTGATAGAATGTGTGCTCAGCATGTACAAGGCCCTGGGTTCAATCCTGAAAATGGTGGGGAGAAGGCACTTGAGTATAAGGTACTGTTGGGTATCATGGGTAATTGGGAAGTATAAGCACATTTAACTTCTGAGAGGGAAGAAGAATATAGGCTAATAGAATGTAGAGTTATATGTCCCAAAGGAACTTAGAATCCAGTTTTCATTGAGAAGGGGAGAAATGTCATGGAGTTGGGGGGCAGGATGTGATTGTCATAAAAGTGCATTCTTCAGAAAAGTGTGTGAATTAGTGTGAGGAGAGATACTGGGAAAGGTATCTTTGAGAAGGTAAGATTTGAGCTTAGCAGAAAACAGGCCCTAAGTGGAATCTGAGGTAGGCCAGGTTGTTATAGCGCAACTGTCTCTTGACTGACTTTTCCTTTGGTGTACCCCTCAGACTGACATCCTACCCACTGCTAGCAGATGAATTCTGAACAATCTTGATCTTTTTGGTATTTTTGCTTACTAGTTTAATAATCTGTGGTTCTACCTGTTTCTTGATGGAGTCCAGACTCTTTTCTGCCCAGAATACTGTCATCCTGATGGGTTCTTTTGCTCATGGGTTGTACTTCTCTGCTTAATTAACTCAGAGGTTTGGTGATGGTGGGACTGCTGCTGAGTATGGGTTCATTTATGGGGGACTGGATAGAGGATTTATTGTGCATATCCTTCAGTTGCCCCCAGAGTGGCCATGCCCTTTTGACCCTCCCCTCTTTTGCTCCAGGTCCTGCTACATGAAGAGGTGGATGATTCTGGCTTTGTCAATCTGTCTCGGCTGGGCCCATCTCTGAGGGACAAAGATCTGGAAATGGAGGAGTTGTTGCTACAAGATGAGACACTACTGGGGACCATGCAGAGTTACATGGATGCCTCTCTTATTTCTCTCATTGAGGATTTTGGGAGCCTTGGAGAGGTGAGCTGGAGCTGGACTTAGCTTTGCTTGGGAGGCTCTACCTGAGATCCTTGGAGTTGTTTTAGGCATGGCTCAGTTCTCCAGGTTCTTGGCTTCTGCATGCCTAACCTGAGTTCTTAAAGTGTTTTTTGTCTCTAGGTGGGAGTTAAGCTGCAGGCTGCCATGTGAGGGTAGCATATTAGGATGTCCTGGTTACCTAAGAATATAGTCCAAGGCCTTTCCCTTTATCTGGGCTATTGATCTTTGTTTTTGAGCCCCATTCTAACCTAGCCAAGGGTCCTTTGCTGAGCATCCTACATTTTACCTGAAAGTGGAGAGTGTAAAATCCAAGCTTAAGACATAAGTTTAACAGGTCTCTGTTGGCACTAGGGAGGTGGTGGATTGTAAATGAGATTGGAACCTATGCCTCCTGGTATTCACATCCTTCTTGCTGGCAGATTGAGCTGCACTGATCCTGGGAGGCTAATTTTCTTTGCACCCAGTCTTTTAAGTGGTCCAGTTATTTCATTAGAGATGTTGGTGGGACTTTTCTGTTTTTTTTTTTTGGAGCAGAGCAGGTTATCTCTGGAGGAACAGAATGAAGTGTCACTGCTGACAGCTCTGACGGAGATCTTGGACAATGCAGATTCTGAGAACCTGTCTCCATTTGACAGCATTCCTGACTCTGAGCTGCTTGTATCACCGCGGGAGGGCTCTTCTGTGAGTGAGGGACTAGGGAGAGGGGACATGTGGCTATTGAAAGGTTATAGCTGCATCTATGGGTCTGTTCACATAGCTCTGGAGCACTAACTGATCTCAGGTGTTTCTCTCCTCTTAGCTGCATAAGCTGCTCAGTCTCTCTCGAACACCCCCAGAACGTGACCTCATCACCCCAATTGACCCATTGGGACCCAGCACAGGCAGTAGTAGAGTAAGTGGGGTAAGCCTGGTCTTGGGTCCTTCAGGAACTTGTAGGCGGGTAATATGTGGGACAGGTCTGGAAAGGACTTCACTGAAGAAAACTCCTGCTGAGTCTTATCTTTTCTCCTACAGGTTGAGATGTCTCTTGCAGATCCCTCTTGGGACTTCCCCCCACCTTCTTTCTTGGAGACCTCTTCTCCCAAGCTGCCTAGCTGGAGACCCCCAAGATCAAGACCTCGCTGGGGCCAGTCCCCTCCCCCCCAGCAGCGTAGTGATGGAGAAGAGGAGGAAGAGGCAGCCAGCTTCAGTGGCCAGATGCTTGCTGGGGAGCTTGACAACTCTATGAGCACCATCCTAGACTTCCCCATGTATTTGGCCTGCCCTGAGGAAGAAGATAAGGCAACAGCAGCAGAGGTGGCAGTGCCAGCAACTGGTGATGAAAGCATCTCTTCCTTGAGTGAGTTGGTACGGGCCATGCACCCCTACTGCTTGCCCAACCTCACCCACATGGCATCACTTGAGGATGAGCTTCAGGAACAGCCAGATGATTTGACACTGTCTGAGGGTTGTGTGGTGCTGGAGATTGTGGGTCAGGCAGCTACAACTGGTGATGACCTGGAAATTCCAGTTGTAGTGCGGCAGATTCCTACTGGACCCCAGTCTGTGCTCCTGGATGACTCACTAGAGGCCAGTCCTGCCTTGCAGCTGCTTATGCCCACACTTGAATCAGAACCAGAGACTGCTATACCCAAGATAGCCCCCTGCCCTGAGAAAGAGGGGTTGTCATTGGACTCAGCATCCTTATTGGAGCCAAAGGAGGTTGTGGAGCCACTGGTGTCCAAGGGACTAAAGAACCCACCTGCCAATGCAGTGCTGGGTTCCCAGAGGGCTCGAAAGAGCAGGAGGAAGAAGAGCAAGGAGCAGCAAGCAGCCTGTGTGGAAGGTTATGCCAGGAGGCTGAGGTCATCGTCTCGTGGTCAATCTATTGTAGCTAAAGAAGTGACCTCTCAGGCAGGCAGCTTGCAGAAACTGCCTCAGGAGGAACTTAAGAGAGAGGGTGGGCTTTCCCAGAGTAGGGGGAAGCCACAGGCTTGGGCTCGGGCCTGGGCAACTGCCTTGGAGAAGCCTAGCTCTGGGAACTTGGAGAGAAGTGCTGGACAAGGTAGTCCCACTGAAGAAAGGTCTCTAGATCTCTACTCCAAGCTGGTTGATACTGTCCAAGCCAACCCTCTTTCACCCCATCTCTCATTGGTTGACTCTCCTCAAGCCAACCCCATGCCATTTGACTCTGTTGAAACTAATACCACTGCAGTTGACCCTGCTGTGACTGACTCTGTACCTCTTGACCTGGCTTCATCAAGTTCAGAGCTGGTTGACCCTCTCCAAGCTGACCCAGTGTTGACTGACCCAGCCCTGGCTGACTCGGCAGCAGTTGACCCTGCAGTAGATGTTCCTATCTCAGATAATTCGTCATCAGTTGAAGCTGTCCTAGCTGACCCTGTGCCAGTTGACTCTGTTCCCAGGGACCTGGCTCCAGTTGATTCTGTGCTGGTTAAGTCCCGACCAACAGACCCCAGGCGTGGTGCAATATCATCAGCCCAGGGAAGCCCAGCTACTCAGCTCCTCGTGGATTCAGAGTCCTCAGAGCCCCCAAAGACCATCACCCCTGAAGTCAAGGAGGTTGTAGGTCCTCTGAAGGTGGAAAATGGTACTAATGCCACAGCCCAGGAAGCCAGACCACGGCCACTCAGCCTATCTGAATACCGACGACGAAGGCGGCAACGGCAAGCAGAGGCAGAAGAGAAGAGTTCCCAGCCTCCAGTTGGGAAGTGGCCCAGCCTCCCAGAGACCCCCACAGGGCTGGCAGATATCCCTTGTCTTGTCATCCCACCAGCCCCAGCCAAGAAGACAACTCCGCAGAGAAGTCCTGACGCTCCTCCTGAGGCTTGCTTTGGGCCTGTGGGTCCCAGCCCTGCTTCTCCTAGTCCTGAGCCATCTGCAAACAAGCCTATGGTTTTAACTTCCAGTGAACAGGTGGTGCCATCCCAAGAGATGCCACTGCCTGCAAGACCTCCTCCTCCTGTGCAGTCCATGTCTTCTGCTGGGCCCATGCCTCACACAGTGCTCACTTCTTTGCCTTTCCCTCGAGGTGGGCTGGGTATGCCCCCCATGCTGCCTCTTCCTGCAAGTGGACAAAGGGTCCCCAATATTCCCCCACCTCCTTTGCCACCTCCTGGTCTTCCAGGGTCTGTGGGACCAGTGCCACCTGATCCCTATACTCATTATACCCCTGTGCCACCCTGGCCTTGCTATCCCCCTGTGTCCCCTTCTGGGTATCCTTGTCTGCCTCCCCCACCAACGGTGCCCCTAGTGTCTGGTACTCCTGGCACCTATGCTGTGCCTCCTGCTTGCAATGTGCCTTGGGTACCCCCTCCAGCCCCTGTCTCACCTTACAACTCCAGTTGTACTTATGGGCCCATGGGATGGGGCCCAGGGCTACAACACCCTCCATTCTGGTCTGCTGTACCCCCACCTCCTTTGCCTCCAGCTCCTGTTGGGAGAGCTGTTCTCCAACCTAAGGTGGAGCCCAGTAGCATTCCAGCTGGTCCTCCTGAAAATGTACCTCCTGCACCTATGGCTCCATCCCTCAGTCTTGGGTCAGTTGGCCATGGAGCTCCACAAATAGAGCCCACCAAAGTGGAGGTCAAGCCAGTGCCTGCATCTCCCCATCTGAAACACAAGGTGTCCCTGGTACAGAGCCCCAGGATCAAGGCTCCACCATATCTGTCTCCTGAGTGTGTGGCTATTGAGGAGCCTGCATCAGAGAGGCTAAAGCCCGAGACCCAGGAGACTAGGCCTAGGGAAAAGCCCTCCTCTTCTGCTATTAAGGCTGTTCCCTTACCAAGGCAGAGCATTGTCCCCAAGCTGCCTGCTGTCCACCCAGCCCGTCTAAGGAAACTATCCTTCCTGCCCACCCCACGTACCCAGGGTCCTGAGGATGTGGTACAGGCTTTCATCAGTGAGATTGGTGAGTGGCACACAGTGCAGTTTGTGTGAAAGGGTACAGGGTTTTGCCTGGGAGTATTTGTAGAACAGGATAAACCATCTTGATGAGGTAGCTTTGTTGGTATCTTTGGAGGGTTTTCAGAAGCAGAGCTCTGGGTTGGTTTCACTCATTTAAGCTTTGTGCTGTTCCTTGGATCACTTAGTATAGTGGGCAAGGGGCATGTAAAGGGAGAAGTGGAGTGATTGGGGTCTTCTTGGGACTTGAATTTGTAGGACCTGTTTTTAATTCTTGATTGTGTGTCTCCACAGGAATTGAGGCATCAGACTTGTCCAGTCTGTTGGAGCAGTTTGAAAAATCAGAAGGTGAGGGAACCTGGATAGTTTGGTTCTTACTCTTTTTTATTATTACTTCCTTTGGGTTCAGATTTGTTGCTTCAGTTAGATTGGATGGGAGCAGTAGTCTCAGCTACTACAGCAGCCCCCTAATTGGAATGGGGAGATAATTTTCAACTATGACAGTAATCTTAAGCTAGGGATAATGGTGGTACGCATGGCAAATATTAAAAGAGTAGATGGAGGGGCTGGGGTGTAGCTCAGTGGTAGTGTTCACCTGGCATGCCCTGGATTTGATTCCTAGCACCACAAAACAAAAAAAAAGGCCAGATAGCGAGTTCCAGGTTGGTTAGGATTATTTTTTGAGACAAGGTTGCTAAGTTGCTTAGGGCCTTGCTAAAATTGTTGAGGCTGGCCTCAAACTTGTGATCCTCTTGTTTGAAGCTCCCAAGTCAGTGTGATGATAGGCATGTGCCACCATGCCCAGCTGCACAGTGTATTTGGAAGGCATGGCTCTAGGTGCTGTGGAGGCTCCTGTTTGCAAGGAGCTTATGGTCTAATTGGGGAGAAGAATATGCAGATATGACTACTGAGTTAGTACCAAATACCTATAATACAAGGCAAAGTAGAAAATACAAGTGTGGGACAAGAGTAGGCTATGAACTAGGGATGTAGTTTAGTTGGAGAATATGTTTTTTTTTTTTTTTTTTTAAATTTTAATATTTATTTTTTTTAGTTTTCAGTGGACACAACATCTTTGTTTGTATGTGGTGCTGAGGATCGAACCCAGGCCGCACGCATGCCAGGCAAGCGCGCTACCGCTTGAGCCACATCCCCAGCCCAAGAATATGTGTTTTTAATATAAACAAGGCCCTGGGTTTAATCCCCACCACAACCCACACACAAAGTAGGCTGTGCTGCTAGGAATTTAGGTAGGCAGGTTATGTAGAACCTTCAATGGTAAGCTTATAAATTTGGACTATGTATTTATTTTCCCTTTTTTTTTTTTTTTCTTTTTCTTTTTGTACTGGGGGTTGAACCCAAGAGGCACTTAATTATTGAGCCACATCCCCAGCCATTTTAATTTTTTATTTTGAGACAGGGTCTCACTTGCTTATAGCCTTAATAAGTTGCTGAGGCTGTCTTTGACCTTGCTATCCTCCTGTCTCAGCCTCCTGAGTTGCTGGGATTGTAGGTGTGTGCCACTGTGCCTGGCGATATGTGTATTTCTGAGCAGAGAACAGATTAAACACAGTACCTTGGTACCCAGTAGAGGAGACTGAATCTTTGGAGAGAGCCCATCAAGGAGCAGACAAAGTAGACTTTCTTTTTTTATTTTTTTGATTTTGGGTACCAGGGGCACTCGGCCACTGAGCCATATCCCAAGTCCTGTTGTATATTTTATTTAGAAACAGAGTCTCACAGAGTTGCTTAGCGCCTTGCTGTTGCTGAGGTTGGCTTTGAACTTGAGATCCTCCCATCTTAGCCTCCTGAGCTGCTGGGATATAGGTGTGCGCCACTGCTCCCAGCACAAAGTAGACTTTCTTTGGGCCTCAGAGTAAGGCCTTCTTTGCCACTTCAGTCTGGAACAGCTGATTGGGCTTTTTAACTAGTTTGGTTTTTTTGCAGCCAAAAAGGAGTGCCCTCCTCCAGTTCCTGCTGACACCTTGGCTGTAGGAAACTCAGGGTAAGTATGGAGATATGTGAATTAACCCTATAGCTATTGGTCAGCATTCTGGCCAGTGCTCCAGGACCATCGGCTGGATACCTCTTTTGCAGGGACATTAAATCAGCTCTACCCTCTTCCCAGTTTTTCCACCCCCTGCCCTGCTTTTTGTGACCAGGACTATCTTGGGTAGTGCTGAGTGGGAGGGTGTGTACTGTCCACCAGCTGATTCAAATTGGGGATTCCAGGTGCTTTATTAATCATCATCTGGGAAGTTATGCCTTTTGGGATTTCTTTCTTGCATTTAATAGACTTTTTAAGCTTGCTAATTGCAGGTGAGGGAATAATTTAAAGTGGGGGGAGGTATTAATGACTATGGCTTCCCTGACTCCTTGGAGAAGTCTTCCAGAAATGAGAGGTCTTTTTCATTTTTCATGTACATGGTATACCATCCTGTTTTGCCAAGTGTGTTCCCCTCTGTTGGTTTGAGCTGGGTAGGCAAGTTTCCTGATTTGAAGAAGATATGGGGGTATTCAAGGTCATAGTCAGCCTGCCTCCTGGAATTGGGCAGAGCTGAGTTAAAATTCAGTGTACAGTTCAGTCACTAAAGATCCCTTTTGTGTTGGAAGAGGATGAATGGGGGCAATTTGTGCATCCTGTTCTTCTCTGCACTCACCCTCTCCTCTTGCTTTGTGAGGAAAGCAGATGTATAAAATATTGAGGAGGCAATGAACCAGGTTCTCCCTTTTCCCCCCTGCCAGCAGCGTTGACACTCCCCAGGAGAAGAGACCCCTAGACCGGTTACAAGCCCCAGAACTGGCCAACGTGGCAGGTGGGTTCAGGTTGGGGAACTCTGCCTATGACTAGTTTGTGCAGCAAACATGTGCAGTGTCTGTTCTGCATCAAGTGTATATAGGCATGGAGGATACAGAGATGTGATCTCCTTCTTTGAGGTGCTCACAGTCTAGGTAGGAGTCAGATATGTAAACAAATGAGCATATTGAGTATCCAAGGTGATATGTGAAAGAAGCCTGTGGTTTTCAGTGAGAACTGAGGTGGGCATTCAGGGAAGGGTTATATAGAAAGTTACCTCTTGAGCTCAGGCTTGAGAATATCATTGATATCAATCAGGTGTAGATTTAGGGGACAAGGCTGTCTAAGCAAATGGAATAGCTGGAGTGAATTGAAGAATCAGAACCAGCCTGCCATGTTTTGGGGAATTGTGAATGGCTCAGTTTCACCTGAATCATAGTGGATGATCAAGGTAGTGGGTAGAGCAAAAGCAAGAGATGAAACTGGAGTGGTAAATAGGAGATTGATTTTGGGAATTTTGAATGCCATGTTAAGTTTGGACTTTATCCTGTGTATTGAAGAAATAATATATTGGTATTTAGATGGTATATCCAGCAGGATTGTAGAAGGGTGGGCAGGTATGAGGCTGGAAGCAGAGAGATAAGGTTATTTTATGAGTTCAAGCAAGATGCAGCCTAGAAGTTAGGCAGTGCTGGGTGGAGGAAGTGGATCTAAGGATGGAGAGGCAGGTCAGATAAAACCTGGTCACCAGCTACATTTGGGTAGTTGAGAGCATGAGGGATTTAGGAAGACCTGGGCTATCTGGGTTTTCAATTGCTGGTTCCCAAGATGGGGAACATGGGGTAAGGAGCAGTTGAAACAATGGGAGAAGTTGGGCTGTTGAACATCCTTTGTGTACTTTTGTGAGAAGTGGGGTCTCTGGAGCCTAGAGATGGTATCTGGAAGTGTAGAATCAGATCTCACCTTGCTATCTCCATCCTCCCTCCACCCCCACAGGGCTCACCCCTCCAGCTACCCCTCCCCATCAGTTATGGAAGCCCTTGGCTGCCGTCTCACTGCTGGCCAAAGCCAAATCTCCTAAGTCCACCGCCCAGGAGGGAACCCTGAAGCCTGAAGGAGTTACAGAGGCCAAACATCCAGCTGCAGCCTGCCTCCAAGATGGGGTCCATGGCCCTAGTCCAGTCCATGTGGGCTCTGGGGACCATGACTATTGTGTCCGGAGCAGGACACCCCCAAAAAAGATGCCTGCCCTAGTCATTCCAGAGGTGGGCTCCCGATGGAATGTCAAACGACATCAGGACATCACCATCAAACCTGTCTTATCCCTGGGCCCAGTTGCTCCCCTCTTCCCATGCATAACTGCCTCCCAGGAGCCACTTGATCACAGGACTAGCAATGAGCAGGCAGATCCCTCAGCGCCTTGCCTTGCCCCATCTGCCTTGCTGTCTCCTGAGGCCTCACCCTGCCGGAATGACATGAACACTAGGACTCCCCCTGAGCCCTCAACCAAGCAGCGGTCATTGCGCTGTTACCGAAAAGCCTGCAGGTCAGCCAGTCCCCCAAGCCGGGGATGGCAGGGCCGTCGTGGCCGCAGCAGCCGTTCTGTCAGCTCTGGGTCCAACCGGACCAGTGAAGCATCTTCCTCATCGTCGTCTTCCTCATCCCGATCCCGGTCCAGGTCCCTCTCCCCCCCACACAAGAGGTGGCGAAGGTGAGCTCTGATGGCCTGTTAGGTCCTCTCCATTTAGGAAGTTCATGCACTGTCTTCTCTGGTTTACTTTGAAAGTTTTTACACATTGGCTTGGGTACTTTCAGGCACAAAGTCTTCTATTTCTGTCTTTGGCCTTTGTCTTCTCTCCTTTTGTGGGTTGTTGAAAGAGGAAAGCTATGAAACTATAGCTTCTATCCCCTGTAGGAGTTTGGGGTATTCCTCAGTCTCCTATTTTCCTTGAGACATGCCTTGGGGAGACTTTGGGTTTGATCTTGACTATATCTTTCTTCACATACTGTTATGAGTCCTCATTTGTGGTATTTTCTTGGTGGTACGTGGGATAAAGGGCTAATTGTTAACGGGAAACATTTCTTCATTTAATCATCTGTTGAGGACAGTGTCTGGGACAGTTCCTTGGGATGTCACTGTAGCCTCATTTATTTCTTGGCAGTATCTTTTTTTTTCTCAGTAACAGATCCAAGTTTTCTACTTACTCAATAAGGAATTCTTGGGTTTTGGCAGTGATCATATCTCCAGAAATGGCCCCTACTATAGGTCTAACACAGTCATCTCCCTTTAAGTCATGGTCACAGTATTCCTGAGACATGATTGGGAAGCATTTATCACTCAGAGACCCCGGCCAGGTTTCAGCACCACAGATAAAGCTGGTTATGAGAACTAGGGCCAGACCTTTATCTTCTTGAGTCTCCCGTTATTTTTCTTCCTCTTTCTGATTTGTTAAATGTTTTTCAGGGGCTAGAGTTGTGGCTTAGTGGCAGAGTGCTTGCCCAGCATATTCGAGCCGCTGGGTTTGATCCTCAGCACCACATTAAAAAAAAAAACAAAAGATCGTGTCCAATTGCAACTAAAATTTTTTAAAAAATGTTTTTTCAGTTTTCTGTTGCATAGTTGAAAATAAACATGATGTTTGACAAAACACACTCAAACATTCCAGATATTGTAAAGTTCCATGAAGGACCTCTGTTTTTTCATTCATGATCTAGACTCCTCTGCTCTGCTTTATCTTCGTTCCTGAGCTTCCTGACAGAGGCAGGGCTGGGACCTGGCTGAGGTAAATGGACTATACTTGTACCACTCCTAGCATTTCCATGTGCCCTTTAATTCTCTAGGTCCAGCTGCAGTTCCTCTGGACGTTCCAGAAGATGCTCTTCCTCTTCTTCTTCATCATCATCATCTTCGTCTTCCTCATCCTCATCATCTAGTTCCCGAAGCCGCTCTCGCTCCCCATCCCCCCGCCGGAGAAGTGACAGGAGGCGGCGGTGAGCATGTTTCCTGAGGCAGTGACTCTGGGATGCAGATGCCTAAAAGTTCTGAGTCTTCAGTTGTCTTGTGTTTGGAGGGCTGACAACATCTTCTCTTGTCAGGTACAGCTCTTACCGTTCACATGACCATTACCAAAGGCAGAGAGTGCTGCAGAAGGAGCGTGCAATAGTGAGTAGAGGAGCAGGTCATGGGAGAAGAGGGCTTGTCCTGAGCCAAGAGCTCAGAGAACCATCTGTGCTACAGCTCTTGCTCACTCTGTCACTTTCCTTGATACCCAATACAGGAAGAAAGAAGGGTAGTCTTCATTGGGAAGATACCTGGCCGCATGACTCGGTCAGAGCTGAAACAGAGGTTTTCTGTTTTTGGGGAGATTGAGGAGTGCACCATCCATTTCCGAGTCCAAGGGTAAGTTTGGGTCCAAGGTCAGGATATCCTTACTGTCCCATTTGTCTACCTTAATGTTTCTTGTCTTGCTTCCTTGATCTGGTGTGCTGGCAATATGGGGCTCCTTTATTTCTACTATCAGAGGGCCATTGGGCATTGAGAACCACCTCTATATTCTTGGGTACTATGCCTTCTTTTTTTTTTTTTTAATATTTTATGTTTTGAGTTTTAGGTGGACATAATATCTTTATTTTATTTTTATGTGGTGCTGAGGATCAAATCCAGTGCCTCATGCATGCTAGGCAACCACTATATCTCTGAGCCACAACCCCAGTCATACTATGTCTTCTTAATGTGCCCAAATGGCTCTCCCCACCAGTGATAACTATGGCTTCGTCACTTATCGCTATGCTGAGGAGGCATTTGCAGCCATCGAGAGTGGCCATAAGCTGCGCCAAGCAGATGAGCAGCCCTTTGATCTCTGTTTTGGGGGCCGCAGGCAATTCTGCAAAAGGAGCTATTCTGATCTTGGTGAGTAAAGGGAGGGCCTGAAGTTTTGGCATACATACTATATCTGTTCCCCAAAAGGGTTCCTATCCTTGAGAGTGGACCTAGGCAGACTTCTCATTGGACATGCAAATAACTTAAGGATTGGGGTGAGGGAAGAAGTGAGGGCTCTCCTTTACCTCTTTGATTTAAAATTGGGGCCATTTTAGCCCCATTCACGATTTGGATATATGATGGCTGGCATTGAGAACCCTGTGGTTGGGAAGTATGGTCAGCGACCTTGATATTCATCTCTCTCTACTTTTGTAGACTCCAACCGGGAAGACTTTGACCCTGCTCCTGTAAAGAGTAAATTTGACTCTCTTGACTTTGACACATTGTTGAAACAGGCCCAGAAGAACCTCCGGAGGTAACCCTGGGCTCTTCTCCCCTTCCCTTTTTCTTTGGAGGTGCCCAACCTCCTCCACCCACCTCCCCAACTCTAGGGGAGAGAGCTGCTAGTGAGGAGATGACTGTTTTATAAAGAAATGGAAAAAAGTGAAATAAAAAAAATGTGTTAAATCAATTTTTTAAAGGGGTATTTGTTTTTTTCTTTTTATAACAGGTGTTGAAACAAGTTAATTTGCATTCCTATGTCAGATGGTTGGGACTGAGGGGTTCCCCAAGTGTTTGGAACATCTTAATCACTATGCAGACTAATAAATATGAAATAGAGAGAACTCCCAAGCGTTATTGTACTTCTTTCTATGGTGCTAGTGCCACATGGTATTTCACTTTTCCTGTGAACACAATCAGGGATCTGCTTACCTCCATTGAATTCTTAGGACTTCTTTCTGGTGAGGTGGAAAATCCCACTGGATTTGAAAGTGGCTCCTGGGGTGTATTGTCTAATAAGTCAGGACAGTGCTTCTTAAAATTTGAAAGGACATTTGAATCACATGGTCATCTTTTTAGAATGCAGATTCTGGTTTCTTGAGATTCTGCATTTCAGTCAGTTTTCTGGGCCCACACCAATAATCACAGTTACAGGAGGCTGAGGCAGAAGGATTACAAGTTCCTGGCCAACTTGGGCAATTTAACAGAACCCTCTCAAAAAATAAAAGGGCTGGGGCTGTAGTTCAGTGGCAGAGTGCCCTGAGTTCAATCCCTAGTAAAAACCCCCCACCCACCCCCTGCAAAAAAAAGATTGTGTATTCAAAGCAGGTATGATCCCCAGCAGTACCCCCCCCCCCCTTTTTTTTTTTAAGCATTTTGCTAAATTGTTAAGGCTGGCTTTGAATTTGTAATCCTCCTGCCTCAGCCTCCCAAGCTGCTGGGATTACAGGCATGTGTCACCTTGCCAGGCCACAAAAGAATCTTGATAGAAAGGATTTAGAAGAAAGTTCACACACGTTGCAAATAAAGACTTTCTAAATGGGTTTGTGTGAACATTTCATTCTTTTCAGCCAAGTTCACCATAAAGCTTGAGCACAATGCTGGGCACATTGCAGATACTTGAATGTATTATTTATTTATTTTTTGGGGGGTGCTGAGGATTGAACTTGGGCACTCAACCACTGAGCCACATGCCCAGCCCTATTATTTTTATTTAGAGACAGAGTCTTGCTGAATTGCTTAGTACCTTGCCCTTGCTGAGGCTAGCTGTGAACTCAGATCTTCCTTGTTTCAGCCTCCAGAGCCACTGGGGTCACAAGTGTACGCCACCATGCCTGGCATGTTGTTATTTCTTGAGGTACTGGGGATCTGGTACAGATCCAGAGACTTGTTCGTATTAGGCAAATATGTTCACTGAGCTATATACCCAGGTCTTTATTTTTTGAGACAAGGTCTCAGCTGGGCATGATTGAGCAAGGCTTTAAGCAATTTAGCAGGACCCTGTCTCAAAATAAGAAATAAGAAAAGGTCTGGGGAGGAAGAAGTGCCTCTGGGTTCAAACCCCTGTACTAAGCAACAACCATAAAAGGGACAAGGTCTCATTAAGTTTCCCAGGTTGGCCCAGAACTTGCCATCCTCCTGCCTCAGCCTCTTTAGTAGCTGGAATTGCAGGCATGCACTACTGTGCCCAGCCAGAATCACTCTTTAAATAGTTGTTAACAGTGTTAACTCTGGATTCAAGGGAGTATATTATTTTGATCATCAACACTAATAAGATGGTCTTCAGGCCAGGTTTGATGCATAGGCCTGTAAACCCAGACAGGCAGAAGGATCACAAATTCAAAGCCAACCTCGGCAATTTAGGCCCTAAGCTACTTAGTGAGACCCTGTCTCAAAACAAGGGCTGGAGATGTGACTCAGTGGTTAAATGCCCCTGGGTTCAATCAGGCCTTTAGGGAAATTATGTAAGATTATTAAAGTGCTGATTGAATTTTTATTTTTGGTACTAGGATGGAACCCAGGGATGCTTTTATCACCAAATATGCCCCCAGTCCTTTTTTTTTTTTAATGTAATTGTAGATGGACAGAATGCCTTTATTTTATTTATTTTTATGTGGTTCTGAGGATTGAACCCAGTGCCTCACGAATGCTAGGCAAGCACTCTTTTTTTTTTTTTAATTTTTTTAATATTTATTTTTTAACTTTTTAATATTTATTTTTCAAGTATCGGCGGACACAACATCTTTGTTTGTATGTGGTGCTGAGGATCGAACCCGGGCCGCACGCCTGCCAGGCGAGTGCGCTACCACTTGAGCCACATCCCCAGCCCTAGGCAAGCACTCTTAACACTGAGCTACAGCCTCAACCTCCCACCCCCAGTCCTTTTTTTTTTTTTTTTAAGAGAATTTTTTAATATTTATTTTTTAGTTTTCGGTGGACACAATATCTTTATTTTATTTTTTATGTGGTGCTGAGGATCAAACCCAGCGATCCTTGCATACCAGGTGAGCTTGCTACCACTTGAGCCACATCTGACCCCCACCACCCTGTCCTTTTTTAAATGTTGAGACAGGACCTCAGTTCCTGAGGACTTCATCAGTTCTTGAGGCTGTCCTTAAACATGCAGTCCTCCTCAGCCTCCTGAGTGACAGGGATTACAAGCATGTATCATCATTCATGAATGCTTGAATGTTTTAAAGAATACATGTGGTTAAAAATTTTCTGAGAGGGATGCAGGAGATGTAGGAATTCTCTCCAGGAGAGAGGAGTTCCTGTTTGGAGAAAGGCAAAGAAGGGTGTCCCACGAAGAAATGGTTCCTTATCCTTCTTGGGGAATATTAATGGGAAAGTAGGTAAGATTGAACAGGTCGTTGACTGCTTGCTAATGTGACCTGAAAAATGGCTGATGGACATTGTTATCACCTAAAGGAAAAGGTCAGTGTGAACTCTGATACACAAGGGAGTTGAATTGGATTATTGTGATATTCAAGTTTGCTGCATGACCCCTCTGCCTTCTTTGAACTGAATTAAGGATGAATAAATGAAGGGGGATAGGGTTGTTTTATAGGCAAATAATGACTGAGGGAGGAGCAGCTTTGGGAATAAAACTTTTGGGTAACTCGATGCTCCTCTATAACATAGGCAGGAATCTGGAAGCGGGGGTGGTGTGTCAGACAGGATCTCCTGGGTTGGAGCGGGAGTGGAAGCTGTTAGGAGACATTATGACCACAAGAGAGGCCAAGGACTGCCCTCCCATCCATTAATTACTCAAAGCCGGTGGGGCGAGAGAAACCGTTGTTGCCAGCCGGGTGTAAAGGCCCTAGGCTGTAATCCCAGCAACTCAGGTTGAAGTCGGAGGATAGCAAGTTCAAGACCGGCCTGGGTAATTTAGCGAAACTAAAAAAGGGCTGGGGATGCAGCTCAACGACTCATTCCCCAGTACCGAAAAAAAAGTACAAAAAATACTTTCAGCAAAGAACGCGCGGGAAGTTCGGAGTTTTCCCGCCACGGCCAGGAGCAAGACCAGTGACGTCAGAGCTCCGCCTCCAGGAAGACGCTACAGTTGGGCTCCGCCCTTACCAACATGGCGGCAGGCGTGGGACCCGAAATAGCTTTCGCCTTGACTCTACTTCCGGGGTGAAGGTGGGACTACCCTGTTGAGCCCCACCTCTTCCGCAGACGCCCGCGCGTAGCAGGGAGGTTACTGGACCCTTCATTCCGCCCCTCTTCCCCCGTAGAGTTCCTGAGTTCCTGAGGCGTGCTGCGTCGGCAACGGTAGTGACGCGCTTTGCCGGGAGAATGGCGGACTCCAGCATGCGCCGCGTGATTCCCAGCGACCTGTATCCCCTAGTGCTAGGCTTTCTGCGTGATAACCAACTCTCGGAGGTGGCAAATAAGTTCGCCAAAGCGACTGGCGCTGTAAGTTCTTGGCTTGGGGCACGTTCTGGGGTGGGATGACCCCAAGGCTTCAGGCCCTGACATGGTTTAGGTTTTCGGGGAGGTCGGTTGGGTCCGCCAGTCCAGTTGTCTACGAGACTTGTGTCGACCTATCCAGAGTGATGGGAGAAAGCCGGGGGCATCGGCGCCTTCTAACTAGATAGCGCAGAGTCCTATTGCTTTTTCCTGGTGATTCAGGCAGCGGCGGCAGCGTGGGTCACGCGTGGCCTAGGTCACATGGCTGGCAGAGTGCGGAGAGGAGCTAGCGATGCGTCCCACAGCGGGCACGGACTTTGTGGGGGACTTTGTGTTCGCCTAACAAAACGTGGTTTGACCTTACCCTCGATGGCACTTAGCTGGGATTTGGGAGTAAAATGAAATTGCTTCAAAAATGAAGGCTAGGATTTTCGTTACAATCTAGGTTTAGGACCAGAACTGTCACTTTTTAGATCTATAATCCTGGCTACTCGCTTAACCTTTCTTAGTCTGTTTTTTTTTTTTTTTCGTACAGAAATGTCATCCACTTTTTAGGATTTTTGCAAGTTTCAGTAAGATAAATATACAAAGTAACAGCCCCAGTTCTTGTGCACAGAAAGTAGGGAGTGAGTGACAACTGTTATCCTAGTTACGGCAATTTATGGTGCTCCAAACACCTGTGAGAACAAGATGATCAGGAATATGAAAGACTTGTAATCTACATCTCAAAAAACATGAGTTATGCTTGCATGAGGAACACCTTGAGGAGCATAGAGTAGAATTCCTGGGAATGATAGGATAACTAAAAGTAAACTTGTCCTTTTGAAACAGACTCAGGCTGCAAAAGTAGAGGATCAAATTAGTGTATAAAGGACTACCTTAATCTGGAATCTATTCTATGTGATCTAACTGCTTTCTTATTGGAACTGTTTTGACTGTTAGGCAGTGTGCATGGAATTGGGCATTTTGGAGTTAGTATTCCTTTTGTTGGGGGAGGGGTTACCCAGGGATTGAACTGAGGGGCACTCAACCACATCCCCAGCCCTATTTTGTATTTTATTTTAAAGACAGGGTCTCACTGAGTTGCTTAGAGCCTTTCTGTTGCTGAGGCTGACTTTGGACCGGCAATCCCGCAATCCTCCTGCCCAGCCTTGCGCCAGCTGGAGTTAGTTTTTGTCACTAATTTTATGAAGGACTTCTAAAAGCCAGATGCTGTTTCTCACTGGGCGTGGTGGTGCATGCCTGTAATCCCAGCAGCATAGGAGGCTGGGATAGGAGGATCAAGAGTTCAAATCCAGGGCTGGGATTGTGGCTCAGCCATAGAGCACTCCCAGGACTCGGGTTCGATTCTCAGTGCCACATAGAAAATGAAGGCATTGTGTTGTGTCCATCTACACCTAAAAAATAAATATTAAAAAAAAAAAAAATTCAG